AAAAAATGAATCCGCCTCAACAATATAGAACTTATCGACAACTTAGTGTTTTTGTTGTTTCGTGACGCCACATGCAAATATTTGAAGTTGGCGCCCCAAGTGTTTTTAAATTGCCTCCAATTGAAGATAAGCGAAGATAAAACCCGGCGGCTATTTATACGCATTGCGTAAGCCCACAGTGTTTACCTCTGGAGGGAATAGCGAGGAGATGTTGCCGGATCGCAGCAGCAAAGGGTGCAAAACGGGCGGGGCGTCAAAGTGGGCCGCCAGTCCCCCCTCTGGAGTGGATCTGGACGACTTCTCCAAGCAGAGCTTCGGGGTTTTCGACGCTCTAAAATGGATAAATTATCAGTTCTTGTCCAAGTCTTCCCCTACGCGACTCGGACCTGGGGCTGTTGCTCCTGGACGCATCCTCGCACTTCCTCTTGGGGCTGCTCAGCCCGGGCGAGTGAGTGGAACAAGGCGAGCTTTGAATCGAAGGCTCGCATTCGATCTTCTCCGGCGACTTCATGTTCTCCTTCTCATGGTCGTAGTCCGCATCATCGCCGTCCTTTTTCATCTCGGGCGACTTGCGCATGGTCAGGTCCAAAGGCCCCGACGAAGTCTCCCTAAACCCACTGCACCTTAGATGTTTTTCCCCCCCACTTTCCAGCCCTACCTGGTAGCCGTAGGCTCCTTGTTGCTCTTGTTGGCAGCCTTCAACACCTCCGCTTGGGTGGGGAGGTTGACGGACGAAAGCGCGCTTGTCATCGGTTGGAGGGTTCCATTGGGCAGCAAAAAGCAGGGGGTGTCCGGACTGGGCACCCCATTGGGCGTGGACAGAGTGGGGAGAACGCTCGCCGATCGGAAAAGCGCGTAAGGAACAATGATGATCGGATTGGTGGGGAGAGCCAGGAAGGGCTGCTGTTGCGGAGCGGGGGATGGAGGCGTGCGACATGCCGAAGGATCCGCTGGGCTCGTAGGGGACGAGCTGGACGTGCAGCTGGAGGGGGCTGCAGTCGGCTTGATCACATGCCTGCAACAGCACCAATCACACAGTGACTTTCCGACATATCGGAAAACGGCGGCCACCTACCGGGAGTTGCAATAGTGCATCTTATGCGCCCTGTAGGTCTTCTGCGAGCTAAACCTAATATCACACTCTGCGCAGTAGCGGTCTTGGACCTCGGCGCCGCTCAGTTCGCCGTTGGGCAACGGCGCGGCGCTGCTAGCAGGCGCAGTTGCCGGCCCGGGCGACACAGTGTGCATGCGCATATGCCGGTTCAGGCTCACCTTCTTGTCTGCGCTGTAGGAGCAGTGCATGCACGTGTACTGTTTGCTGGTGCGCAGCGCCTTGCCGCTGGGGTCGCCACTATCGGCGTCCGATTGGCCGGTCACAGTCTCCGAGCTGGCGCCACTTGTTTTCGGGTCGTCCTCCGACGGTTTGTTGGGCCTAAACATTCGATTGGGTTAATCAACCACGTGGCGTCACCAAACCACTTACGCGACAATGAAACATATTACAGCAGCCCGTCTACTACTGGCCAACATATAAACAACTGTGTACCCAAATGATGTTGTGGGGGCGAGCATGAATGGCAATGATTCCAATCAGAATCAACGGATAGTTACTATCGGCAGATACGTTATCTGAGCGCGGCCTCGATTTGAACTTAACAGTCACCTATCTCGGCTTATCGGATTTTGCTGATGGGGTTCATGAGGAAGGCGCGTGCGTTTTTCCGCATTTTCACCCTGGGGGAGGCGGTGGAAGCGAGGAGAGTGAGGGTGAAGGTTTCGGACATCCAAACCAGCTTGAGGGTGCAACTCTTTAGTATATGGCACGTATAAAGTGGGTCGATGTGGCAGGAGGGTGAGGTTGTGGGGCAGGCCACCTCGGGGGTGGCCTCGCATTGACTTCAATCAATGCGGCAACCGTGCCCCTTGCCGGGGATTTGCAGCGAATTTACCCAAAAGCTCATTAAGTGCTCGATTTATTCAGTCCCCCGATATACAGAGTGTTTGAGCCATCCCAGGCCAGTTCAGCTGATAGAAAAACTTACCTATGCGAACAGTAGTAAGTCTGGTGGGCCTCCAAGGTGCTGAGCGAAGAAAACCTGATGCCACAAGGGACACACTGATAGATTGGCACTGAGGTGCGGCTGGTCTCGGAAGCGGAGACACTTTCGACTGATGCAGCGCTGCAGAAGACGAAATTTAGAGCCCCAGCTGCAGCATTGACAACGTTAATTTACCGGACGGCTTCAGTGGAGGCGGCAGCTCTTTGAGCTGCCGCCATGGCGACCACAGCTTCATTCAAGTTAAGACCTGCGGGAAACAGCAGCCCCCTACTGGCCAGCGCCGATTGGATGGCCGGCGGCAGCGTTGCCAGGTATTCGGCAGTTGGTTGGCTGGCCGCATCCAGCTAAACCGCGCAGTTAGTTTCTGTTTGCGATGAAAAAACGAAAAACCTACTTCGCTTTTGATCGGTCCCAGCAGGTTGTGGGCGGGATCAGTGGCCAGGCCTAGTCTGAGCCGAATTTTCGGCTTCTCCTCCACATCGGGCCTGGTGGGGCTTTTGCGGCCTTCCTCAGCTGTTGAGCTGCGTTCCGGAGTGTCTTTTTGCTGGATCGGCGTTTCCAGCACGGTTACCATTTTGGGATCGGCGCCTGGACCGTCTGTCGATTCCAGAGGCTGGAACGGCTCGTCGCCTGGAAAAGAGGAAAGAATCCGATAAGATCCTTCAAGTGGCTGATCTACACTAATCAAGATCTCATTACTTGGTTGATTGGTGATTAGTGCGTTCCAACTTGACGAGTCGAGTAGCACTTGAGCAAGATTACCATTAGAGCACTTGAGTTTTTCGGTAAATTGTAGTCAATTTCTCGATATCATCGTTGCTTTTGACTAGGAGAAGCTGAGAATGTTTGGCGCAATTCCGTAGAGAAACCGGCAGTTCTTGAAAAGATCGGGATGGGAGACGTTGAGCTCAGAGCATGACTTTTATCTTTTATGTCTGACGAAACGAGTTTTGCTGGATTGTTTGAACTGAAATGCGACAAAAGAATTCGAAGACAGAAAATGAAAAGGAGGAACAAAGGAAACAATTTAAAATAGATGTTTTGGTGGGAGGAGAAGCAAAAAAGGGTCCTGGTTCAAAAGGAAGTAAAATTGACTGAAACATCCATAAGTGTTGCATTGAAATCTCGCTAAGAGCATAACTTTTTAACCGACTAAAGTACAAGGGCGGATCCAGGGGGGGTCATGGGGGTCATGCCGCCCCCCCCATTCAATTCTCTATCCAGCGATGCCAAAACGAACTCTCTGGCTCAAATGGTTCTTGAGAAACTTCGAAAAAAGCAGCGTCATGTTCAAGTGGATTTTGCAACTCAAAAAAAACCACGCAAATCTAAAACTTCT